CAAACAGCACGTCTGCGAGGCCGGTGCCATGAAATTTGGGAGGGCTCTAGATTCGGCTACTCGCAGGAGTGACCCTTCGCCGGAGCTGCCTCCGGTGTGAGCCCCCCCCGCGCCGGCGCGCCCGCTTGGATTTGGCCTCGCCGCGGCCCCCTGAAGCCGCGCACCAAAAGGTCACTTCTTGCCTAGGGCCACTCTTCCCATGCAGACCCCCGACGTCATGATGTTTTTATGACGTCGACCCCCAGAGGTCTGGACCCATTCCCCAGGACCAGTTTTTCGTCCTGAGTCGTTTTTTGACGGTCCCGAGGCCCGGCAAGGGCCCCCAGAGGCCGAAAATAGCGAAAACCTTCCCGTCGTGATTTTTTCACAACGCGAGGGGGTCTGTGTTGCGTGTAGCCGACAGGTCTCCAACGATATCCGGTGCGATCGGAGCGGGTAATGACGGAGAGGAGGGGCGCGCACGGCCGACAGCAGTTCCTGTCCATTCCGAGCAGGGCTCGCGGTCGGCGCTGCCGCGGACGCTGCCCCTTTGGGGCAGGAGGCCGCCTGCCCAGCAGCGGCCGCTGCCGGCTCGGGGCATCTTTTCCGTGCCCGTTTCTCGCGTCCCGAGAAGAACCAGATCTCCAACGACACGATTTCTTTAAAGTCGGGGCTTGATCCTGATAACAGGGTTGAGTCGGGCCCGTCCCGTCCCTCCACAGGAGGAATAGTCAAACCTTGCGTCAAAACAAACATGGAGACTTTTTTGTTGGTTGCATTTTTTTATCATTCTGGGGCACTTGTGCGGTCCAAGATCTTTTATGTGTTGGGCATTTTGGGGTATGTATTGTCTTCTCTATTTTATCTGCTTCGGGTTGTTTTTGGGGGTATTTATTCATGAGGTATTGATCTCTGGGGTATTTTTTATTTATTTTTCGTCCAGCATCTCACTGCAGGGGGACAGGCCCGACCTCCTAACAGGGTTGCCGGCCTCGGGTCGGGATGCTTGTCGTCGGCTGCGCCCCGTCGAGGGCCGGTACCGCTCCCCCGGCCTTTCCGGGGAGCCTCCACGGCGCTCCATAGGAGGGCCCGAGACGCCTCCCAGGAGCGCCCACAGTGCGAAAGGATGGCCCAAGACGCTCCCAAGCAGCCCAAGTCAGCCTTCCGACTGCTCTCGAGGCTCCCAGGTGGCCTCCAGGAGATCCGGCCAACATCGTCGATGTTCACTGGATTTTTCCACGTTTTTGGCTTCTCGCGTTTTCGAGCTTCCAAAGGTCCAAGAGCACCGAAGAGGCTCCCAAGACCGCCCCAAGACCACCCAAGAGACCCTCAGGACGGCCCCAAGACGGGCCAGGAAGGCTCCAAGACTGCCGAAGAGGCGTCCAGGACAGCCCCAGACCACCCCAGCACAGGCCCGAGATGGGCCCAAGAGCGGGAGCAGGAGGCTTCCAGATACCTCCGAGGGGCCTCCGGAACCACCCCGAGGCCCCCAACACACCCCCTATCCCTGAGAGGCCCCCCAAAAAACCCGACGAGGCTCCAAGAACAGCCCAAGAGAGCTGCGAGAGCCGTCCCGAGAGAGCCCAAAGAGGGTAAAATCGCTGATTTCCAATGGTTTTTCTAATGTTTTTCGCCTTCTCACGTTTTCCCGCTTCCAACCCTCGAAGATCGAGGATTTGGAAATTACCCTGCGACGTACCCAACCCATGTGCATCAAGTGGCAAGAGGAGTATGCCAACATTGGCAGGAACAACGACAATGTAGACACGGTGATTTGTTGCGCAATCTACATGGGACGCGCATGCGTTGCACGACTCACAGGACGACGATCGAAAGAACGAGGATCCAGGCCCCAGGCTCGAGGAAGAACGGGGACGGGAACGAGGGGCAGGAGGAGGATGGAATGGGGGGGCGAAAGGCCATCGCGGCAGCAACAGCATGCATGGAGCAGGTGAAGCGGGGAATAGGACGACAATGAAGGTGGCGGGAGGAGACAGAAAAGCGCCGCGTTTTCAGGTACACGCTAAACACTGAGCGCTGCCTGCGCCATGTCGTCGCAGCGTTCCACAGGCTCAAACCTGCTTATAGTAAGTGCAAGAAGCGAGCGAGACTTAGCTCGCCCGCTAGCTTCTCCGCCTCATCCCTGCACATTTAGTGCGGGAGCTGAACGTTCGCAGGCGCGCCGCCAGGTCTGCGGGCGGCCCGCGGGAAATGACACATTTTCACAGATCGCAGCCCTCCAGGGATGGCGAAGTCTAATCTGAATCCCCGTATGACGTCACTCCGCTGGCCACCCCAGCACCCCTCGAAAGTGGCGACAGGTTCGCAGATCGCAGCCCCCCAGAGATGGCGAGGTCTAATCTGAGTCCCCGTGGGGCGTCACTCCGCTGGCCACCCCAGCAGCCCTCGAAAGTGGCGACAGTTTCACAGATCGCAGCCCCCCAGGGATGGCGAGGTCTAATCTGAGTCCCCGTAGGGCGTCACTCCGCTGGGCCCCCCAGCAGGCCTCGAAAGTGGCGAC